CACAATACAACTTTAGGAATGACTCAAAGATGTTGATGTACAAAACATATGAAGTCAATTATAAAAACACACTAATAGTAAATGGAAGAAAAGGTATGGAAATGCCAGCAGTCTAAAACTTGTTAATGTGCGCATCACCTGTAGAGGGCCCACTATTGGCGCATGAAGGAAGCACACACTTGTCAACACTACATTATAGTTACATACACACTGGCAACCATAAATCAAATTTTTGTTTAAATATGGTATTGAGCCAAAAATTGTTGAGGGTATTTGTCAACCAAGCAGTTTTGAAATGTCCAATACATCATTTACAGCAAGTACCTGGCTGTATAAACTGTTCAAATAATGTAGATTGATTATACTGTTTACTAATCAAGAACAAAAGAGAAACTTTTTAAAATCGACTCGTATTTATAACTGTATTTGTGAAATAGTCCTGCCAATGGCAAATAAAGCCTCATTATAAGCTCATTAACAGTCTTGATATACAAAGACTAACATTCAACCTGTAAGACGCCCTCAGTGGCCAGTTTGATTAACACTGCCTTATAATACATAAAGCAACAATCAAATTAAAAGACCATAATTGCACACATCAAAAAATTCTAATTACTGGCCATGTATTCTAACAAAAATTGAACAAAATTGAAATTTCACCTGTTTTTTTTCTGTAAATATTGAGTAGATCTTGTCCAGTAAATTAATTATATATTGTATACATACATCTTAAACTGGACAAGACAGCAATTCTTCCATGTTGATATAAAATACTAACTTTTAAATTTTAAGCCAATAAGACACCCAGAATGAAGGAACCTGCAAGCATTTAATATTTCATGAAAAAAAAATCAAAACTTAAATAAGATAATCTTGGGGAGAAAAGTAATGTACATATGTAGTAGTGCTTTTGTTGTCTCCCATGGTTACCTATATAGAATTTGTACAAAATTGCAGTTGTTTTTACATCAGCACTGAGGGCGCTTTCAAGTGGATTCTGATATCTTCCATAGTCATATTGAACAAAATAAAAATCTAACAGTGAAACCGAAGAATGCTAATGTTTCGTAAGTATAATAAACCATACATAGAGCAACGCATTCAATACCAAGCAACTACCAACTGAATTTCTATTAGAAACACCAAAAGACCTCATCATGCATTTTACCAAAAACTGTAGGTTTCTATCAGTATACAAATGCTATAGTGTTTCAGACTTGTACCATGCCATAAAATTGAAAGATTAGACAAGCAATTGCTTTACCCATGCACAGCACTGATTGAAAAGTAATTTACATAAATAAAAAAATTCAGTCATTAGATGTTCTACCTGCTGTGGTTGATGTTATGAATTCTAACCCCACACTTCGCATTCTTTTTTTCGACTAGTTAAAGGGTGGTAGTCATCACGTCACGCATGCGAGAGATATATGGGTCTCATATAAACATAGATGGCGACTTTGACTGCTGGGCAGATCAACGAGTACAAACTAGGACGTTACCAAGCTTTAAATTAGGTATTTTTAGGTATCGAAGGAGTCACCAGCGGTAATTAGTCACGCCCAGGTCAAACCTCATACTTGTGATTTCCATTAGAAGGGCGCATTGGATTGTGGGAAAATAGATGTTTATCAACACAAATGTCACACATGCGCAGCGCGTCGACTGCCGCCCTTTAAGGAAGAACTCTCCTGGTCAACCCCAGACATTGCATTTTGACTGATAGTACACAATCTTAGCCAAAGTGCAAGGTCTGATTTACAATTCATCATACATTTAGTGGTTTACTGGTACATATTATGTACAGTTATGTAACTAATGGTAATACAATTCAGTCTACATGTGATGTACTGTCTGTGGTGATTTACAATTAGCATAAATACACTGATAAAGAGTCATGATGAAGCAATGGGTCACATCACCAAAAGTTGAATAAAATACATGCCAACCCTAATGTTGTTCACTACCTTTATATGGAATCTCATAAATTACTGTAAAATGACTAATTTTCACTGGGTTTAAATTTCGCTGATTTACCATTTCAGGCATATTCAGTGGGTTTTAAATTCACGGTTTTATAATTTAGATAATGTGTTCTATACTAAATTTTACATATTCACTGGGTTTAAGCGCATTTTCCAGTCAGTGAAATAAGCAAAATTAAAACCCAGTAAATAATTAACCCTTTTACAGTATTAATGTGAATATTTAGTGACCCAAATATAAAACATGTTTTTACACAAGGACCTCCTACAATTTAAAAATTTATTTGTGGGAGTAATGAGCTGGTCTGTCAAATAAACGAATGACAACCAAGAGAATGTACAAAATTAGGCACACATGTACGATTTACTGCTTCAACAAAAATTTACAATCTCAATTCTGGTCAACAAGCAGGAAAAATACAATATACAAATCTCATTCTTTTCACAGGATGGCAGACCAACACCACACAACCTCCCACCCCCAGAGTACTAAATGCCACACCTCCAACAAGACACTCATAGAAGTTTTAATGTAATTCGAAAATCAGTGATTTCCAAGACATGAAAATTTAAATAACAATACATATATATTTCCACAACAGTTTTGACTGCCTCCAATCTATATTTTGTATTTTAAATAAAATTTACAACAAATATGCCTTTAAAAAATAGTCCTTTACAAAAGGAATGATACAAAAACAAACCCCACAAGTGAAGCTAAGCTGCAATAACTGCTGACAATATATCTTGGTACAGAAGGTACCATTAAGTCCTTTAATCAAAGGTAGAAATTTGTATTAAATTAGTTTTGTATAAACATCTATAACATTCCAAATAAACAAAAAATGGTTTTACACCTCTTTATATTCTGTGCTAGATAACACACAGTCACAGATATTGATAAAAGAGTAATTGAATGTCAATCATAGGGTTCCCAAGACTATTTAAACAAGCAGCCTGTCGGCTGAGATAGCTCCGCTGTTAGCAATGCACAATTCAATTATAGAACAATCATTAGAAAATAAATAATATGTATAGTATCAATGCAATGGGACTTGCTGTTTTCAACACGAATTCAAAAATATAATTTTTAACCATAAATGATTGTGGTTTTTAACAAGAAAAAAATATCACTTTTTACCAAAAATGACAAAAATATTCATCAAAATTAGAGAATTGAAGATATCATCGTGAAATAAACAAATTTGAGAGTGGTCCATATGTAGTATCTATATATGTAATATCAAAGCAATTGGACTTGTCGTTTTTAACAAGAAGTCGAAAATATCACTTTTTACCAAAAATGACAAAAATATTTACCAAAATTAGAGAATTAAAGATATCATTACAAAATGAACAAATCTGAGAGAGGTCCACATGTAGTACCTATATATGTACTATCAAAGCAATTGCACTTGCGGTTTTTGACAAGAAGTCGAAAATATCAGTTTTTACCAAAAATGACAAAAATATTCACCAAAATTAGAGAATTGAAGATATCAT